CACCACCCGTTAACAATTGTAGCTTTTAGATTTCCCAACAGAAATGGTATCTTGGCCTGGATTGCGACGACTCCTTAATACTGTGACGTTTACGCCACACTGACCTATACGCGATCCGTGAAGCTGGAGTTAGGCAGTACGTGTGCGGTACGCGCGGAGGAGTGGACTAATTTCGGCATCGTCGGTTAGATTGACCTCGTTCCGCCGCATAAGCATAGTGGGCTCAAGGAGTGTGAAGGGAGATAGATGCGGCACGGGTTCGTTTCACCATAATAGAAGCCCCACTCAATGCACAGCTGCGTTTACTTCGTCAAGATAAATTGAATTACAGCGGCGGTTGTCTTGCATTTTTGTAACTAAATCTTCTAACGCGCGCTAGTAATTCGAGAGCTGTGACATTAAAGTGTAATGTTTTGGCTTGCCTTGAACCGTAGAACCATACAAAATGGTCACCACCTTATGTTGGCTGCTATGTTTATTAGAGGTATGCCAGATCACCTGAGGGTATTGTCACGACTCTTATGGCTGTGCATTCGAATGCCCTGAGGCGCTGTGAAGCTTTTGCATTTTCAACATTTGAGAAACCAAATATCCCGAAAAACTTTTAGCCAGTGAGCTGACGCCATAGCGCGGACCCCACCGATTCCTGTAAATGCCTCATAAAAGTCAAGCTGAATAAAGACTGCTGTGCAGATCCGAAAGCCGTCCTCCTCATAGGCAAACTTCTGCATTACTGTGAAGTGAAATAGTGCGTTGACACAGGAATCTGAAAGGGAGCTCCGGTGACAGGCTTAGAGTCAACCCTAAGGCCCACAGTGCGCACGCCATAGCTAGCGATTGGTTACTTAAGCCGACCGGGGACAGACGCCTTAACACCTACTCCCCCGCCTCCCCCCCCCGGTAGGTAGGAGTTGTGACGACTAGGACAGACACGGCCAAATAGGCCGGTTATTGCGGTCTTGTATTAAAGTCACCAATTGGTTGACTGGGCGCACGTTAAAATGAAGCCGTTATAGTGCCGTTACACGTGGACAATAAGGCTGAGGCGCTAGAACAAGCGCCGACGTCCAAGTACTCACGGAAGCAGCCAAACTGACAGATCCAGTAAGTGGATCGCATACGTCCAAGGATATACTGTGGATTTCATGTCACAGTGACTGGATAATTTTATTCTTCAGCGTAAAAGTGTCCAGTTCAAACTGAGAACTAGCAAATTTCCACTCCTAACGGCTCTCAAATTGCGTCAAACTAAAAAGCGTTGCTATTAGAAACAGCAACCTGCTTCATTGAGTTGTTGAACGAAGAACTTTGCCGACAGCGACCATAGAGGTCAGAAGGTCATACTTACCGTTATTTGCTGCCAGATCCAACACATAGGCTGTGACTCAATTTCGTGAACTCTATTATAACGAACGAAATGGCGCACGTCCACATTTTAGGTATTTCGGTCTGGAGACATTGGAATGTGTCTGTCGAATAGTTTAAATGCTTCTTTGTCGATAGTTCTACTGGAGTATCTGCGTGCGATGTCGGTGATCTGTAGGTCGGAAGACGGCACTCGTAGCTCATTATATAATTAGAGTAGATCGATTAATATCAGTCTCACATGAATTTTGCCTTTTCATTATGGGAGTTCTGAATGCATTAAATTCATTTACATCCTCCACTGGCTTTCCCAAAACGTCTACGTACCTAGGCGCCACTGGGTGTACTTAAGTACACATCACACGTTCTGAAGCCATACTAGGCTCTCTTATTACTTTGAGGGGCGAGGTTCCCCTCCAGCAACAGTATCTGCAGCGATTGATTTATCATGCTTCCCGTACGAATATTAACCAAAGCGCGGACACGCCCGTTTCATCGATTTTTTTCGCCGTTATATGATGCAGCTGCGAGGGAGTCAGCCTATAAGCGGTGCTGAGCCTAATGATGTTTTTCTGAAATTACTGTTTGAACTTGGGGTCATCTCTGCCTCCATCGATAGTCCAGCTATCGGTTATTTGTGTTCGAGCAGTCAGAGCTCCGTTCTTATTCATTTTCAAGTAAATACGCGTCTGAGGAGAATAAAAAAACTATTAAATTGTCTCGAAATGAGATTACTTAAATAGTAAATTTCCACCCAACTTCGTGTACGCACGGAGAGGGTGGGTGCTTCATTTTCCGTTGTCAAAAACTGTGGGGCGGGAAACTACGAAAGCCACTTTTGGTCAGTCTTGAGCACCCTTTGCCGCCTGAAATGAAGACTAGTGCTTGATACGTCGATGAGAGTTGCGGTTCAACCGTCATTCAGTATTGGACCTTTGATATTACACCAGCTGTTCTCGGCCCCTCTGGCCGTTCGGCAGCAATTACTACACGTAGTTGGACTTTATGCCTTTGAAACTGTCCCTTTTGATTGCAAACTCAAATATTGCTTAGCTGTTGGAATGAGTTGTATTTACTTAAGCCCTAGCACCTGCTTAGAAATATTAACTGACCGCTAAAATCCCCACTGCGATCGAATGACTTTGTATATTGTTCGATAATTTCTACCAAACTTTATGAAAAGAACACAGACAGCGGTCCAGATCCAAATGTTCCACTGCCTTTATTTCCTGTACGGTATGGTATGCAATTCACAACGAATCGTGGAATGCCTACATGCGTTGGTAAAGGCTCACCAATCTTCCCGTTCAGCCTTGGGGCTTATTTTCGAACTCCTTTAGCAGCTGCACATTGGCTAGTAGTGTAGGTAGATGAATGGCGAGAACGTTGCACTTCGCATTATCAGGTCACGGCTTCGAGCCTTGGGTGGGGCACCAATTGGGGTTGGATATGACGGGCTGCTTTCAGCTTATGAACCAGAAATGACCATTCTAGTCTCACTTGTCATTTCCGGCAATACCGTTCTGTATATGTATATACGGTATTAGGCAAATGAACACCCGTGATTAGGTAGTCGGTGCAGTAAAGTTGATTGTGCGAGGAATAAATGATTTTGAGCTTGCATTCGTGAGATAAAATTTGGTTTCGCGCGAATTTTTTAAAGTAAATTTGCTCAAGAACTCGCGAAAAGTCCGAATGACTGCGGACATAGTTATCTCTCTCTCCGTCAGTGACATAGCTGAACTCCCATTGTACAAATTAGTACCTTGATCCAAGGTTAAGTCAAGGTAAAAACCGGGAGCTCGATCGTTTGTTGACTTTCTTGAAAAGTAGGGATACCATTTCGACTGAAAATAAAGGAGCTCTATTTTTCATTATGTTGTAACGTGTTTTGCTATATTTGTTTACTTTTAAGTCTAGTTCCATGATTGAAAACGCACGACAGAGTGGCCGAATATATATGCTAAAATTTTGCGAAAACTGTCAATTTTCTGCCAGGATATTTTATTACTTAAATGTATTTGTCATACGCCTCAAATTTAACATACTTCTTGTTTTGATTTAAACTCCACGGTAACGTATGCTTATTTTGGTCAGGGTCATAATGTTTGGAGCGGTAAAACAAAATACAGTGAGACAAATTTTTTTGACAGAGAAGTGTTATAAATATTAAAAGTATGATTTTAAAGGTGAATTTGTCCCTATTTTTTATAAAACAGTGTGATTCCTTGCATTTGGCTTCACCCGATTTTCCTTTACTTAAGATCAGATTGTCTGATTCCAGGAGGGAGTTATTTGAAAAGGCTTCCAGAGGTTCAGATCAACTCAAAAATCGAAATAACAAGACCAAATATAAGTTAAATTACTGACGCAAATTTCTGTCACGAAATCGCATGAGGCAGGTCATCTACTTCATATGTATATCCCGTACTAAGAAAACTGACACCTGTGGTTAGATACTCGGAACAGTATCGTTGACTGTGCGGAGGGATTAATGAATTGGGGCATGCCTTTCTCAAAGGAAGAATGGAAGTAGTTTTCTTATTTACTTTGCTCAAGCAATCCTGACAATTCTGAAAGACTGAAACAATAATTTACGTTATCCGTCAGTGAGAAGTTTGCATTTAAGTTAAACAAAATAGGTGGTAGCATGTTATTCAATTTAGTGAGTGAATTCCTAGCGCCTGGTCTGGGTCTGCTATTTTATTCAGTTGCTTACTTTGCAATTAGTGAAATATAGGTGTCGAAAATACGTGAATGAAGTAAGGTCATTTTTAGTTGGATCGCACGGAATTTCAAAAATAGACTGAGTACAAGCATTATGTACCAGGGAAATGGACTAGAAGAGCGTAGAAGAAGCAGATATTTGCCGTCTGTTTATGAATAAAAAGTAATCCAATCAAAAAGTAATCATTCTAATCAAGCAATCAGTCTAATAGTCATAATCCTCATCGTCTTCCCCGGCATAGTCATCGTATTCATCTTCACTCAGCTTCTGTAAGCGACTCCTGCACCTGGTTCCCTTGCAAACGTAACCACAGATGCCTTTGTTGCATGCATAGCCTTCGTACTCCCCATAACGACAGTGTTTCGCGTTACAGCCATCAAAATGCACCCTGCCAAAGATTTCCAACTGTCCAAGGAAATCGCTTCTCGACTGGTATCTTTCCTCTGACATCTTCAGACGTTTCGTCTCGTAGCAACCGTCCGGCTCACAGATGTAGTCACAGTAACCCTCTCTGCATCCGAAGCCTCCGAAATCACCCACGTGGCAGGTTAACTCAAAGCAGTCCTCGAAAACTATCTCACCATCACGATTGCGGAGGTAGTGTCGAGGGGCAGGGTAATATCCGTGTTCCTCAAGGTCGTCGATGAAGGCAAAAGCGGTTCCAAACGGCAGAGCGACCACCAGTGCGAATGAGCGGATGAAAATGAGGAAAAAGTTCATTTTAGTGGCTGTCAGTGTCGCCTTCGATGGCACACATCCTAAAGACGCAGTTTTTTTCGTTGATCGATAATTGCGCAGTTAGTTGACCTCATTGACGATTGGACCACAAGCTGGCAGGGGCTGAACGAATTGTATTCGCTGTTTGACATTGGGTCGATTTACCAGCTCTAGCACTATTTCAACATGGTGATGACTGCAAAGTTCCTAACGTTGCCATGGGGCGGCTATTTTCCTGCTAGTCCACTCAGAGGGCACAAAGAATGGGCTTAAAAGCAGAGCGAACAACCATCCTAGTGGAGTTTATCATGCAAAAATAATTCCATGAGACCATTAGACGACCACAAGAGCTGTATAGCTCAAAGAAAAAGCACACTGCTTCTATATATTAACTTAAAAAGAATAGTTGATCGGTCACCGCCATCGTGACATACAGACACTCATCAAGTTACGAACTTTCAGACATATCGGAGTCCCTATCTCATGAAAAGTCAACCCAAATTCTGGAATGTCATTGATGAACGTTCACTTGACCGGTAACGGAACCCGTCTGTCCCGCTCTGCCTTGGGTTTCGCCAGAGGCCGTTACAGCCGTAACAGCTGGAAGTAGGCAGATAGTATTGCCGTCAAAGACAAAGGAGACTGGAATAGCCACTTCTGCCTTAGTAGCTGTCGTCAGCCAGTCATACCCGGACTTAAGTGGTGTCCCACCCGAGCCTCGAACTCGCGACCTGTTTGATTAGACTCAA